CCGTCTGGCCAGATATGGTCACCTAGGTAGCAGAGGCTCCTGATGAGGCAGTTAGGCATACTTGGTGGTTCTAGCTAATAAAATTGCTGGTAGGTCAGGACTAAAGAAAAATGGGCCCAGCACTTACCCAGGTACATTTTGGTATGGAAACATAGTAACAAAACTATTAAAAACAAACAAATGAACAAAAAAACTTCTAATCATTTTGTTGCTTGTTCAGATTCTGCCAAATGCACCTCATAGATTTAAAGCTGGAGCTCTGTATATAAAATATAAACATAATTCACATTATTACGGTTTTGTTGCTTTTGCTTTTTTTTTTTTTTCTTGAAAGGAAGACTGCTCATAGTTAGCCATTGATCCAGCAGCATTGACTCATCATTATAATGCAAGCGAGGAGGCAATCACTGGCAGAGAACCTCCTCTGTCACTCAGACCTTCAGTGTCACAATTTTTCCCTTTACAATTATTGCCAAGTTTTGACTAATCCCTATAAGTGAAACAAGCAAGAGTTTTATTTTGGTTTGTTAAAGTTTTTAGTTGCATTAAACCCTACATACACACACACATACACACATACACATATATAATTCAAATGCCTAGAAATGCTGAGTTATGAATCATATTACATTTAAACATCTATATGACTTTTGTTTCATATTAAGAACATTTTATTAAGGATTTAGTTGTGCTATACTATTTCAGGAGTTATATTCAGGAAGTATATCTAATTTCAAGTACATTTAGAAATATAACAGATTATGTAAAATAAGTAATATTCAAGTTAAAATTTACTGTAATTTCCTACCACATAATGATTACAGTTTACAGCAATCCTAGGTATGTTAAGATAACAAGTTTGTTCTTCAGGCTCAAGTTGTCCATTTCAACAATGGTTACCTGGGCACTAAAGAATTTGGAGTTATGGTAAAGTATTCACTGTGATTTTACTTGCAACATTAATATGCTTTAAGAAAATACAACATGGTTATTTCTCCTATAAACATCACTAAACTCTTTAAAATTCTTTATTTTCTAAATGTGAGTTGGATATTTATTTGGGTAAATTAAGTTCTTTTTAAAATTTTTTAAAAATACTTCTAGGATTTTTGGTCACTTCACAGGTAGGAGAGATCGCTGAGAGAAATAATAATATTCCTACTAATTTATACAAATGAAGGCTTAAGTAATTAATTTGAATTTTAGAAGATATAACATCATTTGTATTCCAAACAGTCTTACCTGGTTATAAATAAATAAAACTAAACAATAGTTTAAATACATGTAGGTTAAAAACAATCATGGAAATAAAAAGTATTAGTAGAAGGTCAAACACTGAGGAAAAATAGTGGAATTATTTATTCACGGTGATTTATATGGTTTACATAACTGCCAGACTTGAATCTCAGATTTAGTTCTAGGATTTCTGTCAGCCAAACTGAAGAGTAAAAACAGAATAGTTTACAAGATAGAAGAAATATAGCAGTTCCTCAGTGGAAACTAAGATCTTTGCCTTACATTAAAATTTTTAAACATTTTAATTGATAAATACAACATACATAGACAATGAAAAAAAATGTACAGCTCACTAAATTATCACAAAACAAATACTTTTGTAATTAACAACTAGAATATGAAAATAAAGCCAATAAGTACATGAAATTCTCTCCTCCCTCTATCCCCTTCTAATCACTGTCCCTTCCCCCTCTGAAAGTAACTATTATCCTGACTTTTATGGTAATCATTCCTAGATTTTTCTTTACTGTTTTAACACTAAAGCTTACATCCCTATATAATATAATAGAATTTTTGCCTCATGGACTTTATGTGGGATTTTTAACATTATGGAGGAGGGTTAGGAGGTCTAGCTTTTTTTGCTCATCTTTGTGAGATTTATCCATGTTGTTGCACAGAGTTGTAGTTTTTCATTTTCATTAATATTTTGTGGTGTAAATATAGTCCAATATATTTATCATTCTACTGTTGAAAGGCATTTTGTCTGCTTACAGTATAAAGTAATTTTGAATTGAATTTTACTGCTAAAAGCATTTTTCCTTTCTTTCCTTTTCTCTTCCTTCCTTCGTTTTTGTTTGTTTTTTGTTTGTTTGTTTTTTCTGTTACCCAAGCTGGAATGCAGTGGTGGCACAATCAGGGCTCAGCTCAACTCAACTCCTGGGCTCAAGTGATCCTCCCACCTCAGCCTCCCTACTAGCTGGGACTACAGCCATGCACCAAAACTCCCAGCTAATTTTTTGTATTTTTTGTAAAGATGGGGTTTTGCCATGTTGCCCAGGCTGGTCTCAAACTCCTGGGCTCAAGCAACCTACCTGCCTCAGCTTCTCAAAGTGCTGAGATTACAGGAATAAGCCACCTCATCCCACCAAAACATTTTTATAGAATGTATCTTGATGAACAAGTCCATGCATTTCCACAGAGAATACTCCTCAGAGTGGGACTGCTAGCCCAAAAACTGTTTTCCAAAGTGGTTGTACCAAATCATACTCTCACCAGCAGTACATGAAAGCTTCCATTGGTTTAATTCCTTGAAAACTACATTGTCAGTCTTTTTAATTTTAGCCATTCTGATATGGCTTTCATTTGCATTTTCCCGATTAAAAATGAATCTGATTTTTCTATAAGTTTGTTGATAATATTTTCTCTTGTGAAGATCCTGCTCAAGTGTCCCATCCACTTTTGGTTTTGATGGTCAGTCATTTCCTTAATTTGTATCAGTTCTTCATATAACCTATATACGGGCCCTTAAATATGTCTTCGAAATATTTCCTCCCAATTTGTGCCTTCCCCTTCTTTCTCTTTAATGTTGTCTTTGAATGAACAGAAGTTCTCAAGTTATCAATTTTATGTAGTCAAATTTATAATTATGCCTGGTTTTATTTTAAATGCATTCTGTTATGAACAAATTTATACCTTCTAAAATATTTTATCTTTTACAGTTAAATTTATAATGAATCTGTACCTGATTTGGGGATAAAGTTTGAGGTAAAGGTCATGTTTCTTTCTTTTTCTAAGTGAATATCAAATAGACCAAGCACCATTTAATTTCAAAAGTCCCTTTTCCATTGCTCAGGAGGGTCATCTTTGTCTCAAATCGTGTTCATTTATATGGAAGTCTGTTCCTGTGCTACCCTGTTTCTTCCATCTTTATCTATCCCATCACCATTATAACACTGTCTTAATCACCATAATTTTACATAAGTCTTTTTTTTTTTTTTTTTGAGACAGAGTTTCGCTCTTGTTACCCAGGCTGGAGTGCAATGGTGCGATCTCGGCTCACCGCAACCTCCGCCTCCTGGGTTCAGGCAATTCTCCTGCCTCAGCCTCCCGAGTAGCTGGGATTACAGGCGTGTGCCACCATGCCCAGCTAATTTTTTTTATATTTTGAGTAGAGACGGGTTTCACCATGTTGACCAGGATGGTCTCGATCTCTTGACATCGTGATCCACCTGCCTCGGCCTCCCAAAGTGCTGGGATTACAGGCTTGAGCCACCGCGCCCGGCCCTACATAAGTCTTGATACCTGGTTGATATCTACCCTCATTCTTCAAGAGATCTTCAAAAGTTGATTAATATTTTTGGTCCTTTGAATTTTCATGTAAATTTAACAAAAAACTTGTCCCGACACACACTATAAAATGTATCTTGGGACTTTGGATGTATTAATGTTGAATCTATAGACCAATTTGGAAATAGCTGACATTGTAACAATATTGAGTCTCACAACCCATGAATATAGTATAACCATTTGTTTAGGTCTTCATGTTATTTCAAAAATGTTTTATAGTTCTCTTTGTAGGAAGGACAATCTTTAACTTATTTCTAGTTACTTGTTATCTCATATACTGTTATAAATAGTATTGCTTTAAAACTTCAATTTTATATTTGTTGCTAATCTATTGAACCACATTGACCTTTGAATATTGACTTTGTATCTAGCAACTCTTAAATTATTATTTTAGTAATTTTTTCTACTTTCTTTTGGATTTTATTTATTTATTTGTTTATTTTGCAGTCTGTTGGTGGATCTACCATTCTGGGATCTGGAGGATATCTTTTGGATTTTTCTATGAACATATCATCTATGAAAAATTAGCTGTATCTCCTCTTCTTGACAAATTCAAAGACCCTTAATATGAATCTAAGGTGCAATTTTTTATGTAAATTCAGTAAAAAGCTGTTAGTGCATTCAATCTCCTTTCCATCTCACAAGTTCCCACTCAGTTTACGCGTACCTGACTACTACCCCTATAATCCCTTCCAGTCCGGAGGAATTTGAGCCTAGACCCTCCTCCAGAGCAGGTTCCAGCCCCGGCTGCGGAAGCGCGCGCGCGCTTGGCACCTTAACAGCTCCGTCCCTCTCCCAGGCGCAGCCAATCAGCGGCCGCCTCTTGCGCGCGCCCCACCGGCCAAAATGGCGGCTGCCGCTAATGCCGAGTCCCGTTTGTAGTGCGGTTGACCTACTCATCCCTTTGCAAAATGTGAAAGAAGCGGCTGGTGGAGGCGGGTCATAGGCAATGAGTCGGCGGAGGAAACTTGATGACAGCCCTAGCCCGAAGAGCACGCCGCACAAAACTGCGGCGACTGAGGAATGCGGCTCGGTGGTCGAGCCAGGGAGGAGGCGGCTGAGGCCGGCCCGCGGTTCGTGGCCTCGCGGGGCTAAAGAGGGGCCTCCCGGGCCAGTGCGGCAAGGAGAGCAGCCTCCAGCAGCCGCCTTGTGCAGTAAAAGTAACCCCGAGGGTGAGACGTCGGCAGCGTGGCCTGCCTTGGCTTTGGCGCTACATCCCCACAGCCCCGCTTGGAACAGGGAAATCGGGTGGGGGTGGAGTCTGGAGTGTATATTGTTTCTCTGGGATTCACCCCTCGAGAGTTCAAAAATAATCCTTTACCACTCCCCGATGGGCTTTTGTCCTCGGGCTTGAGCACTACCCTGTTAGGTTTGATCATCCACTGGCCACCTCCACAGCAATAGGTCATGTGGTTTACCTGTTTGCGGGAAGGCGGCGGCTTTCTAGGCTGCTCCTCCATTCAGCAACGGTGGCAGAGCGAGGAGAAAGAGCGGATAGGTCCGCTATCCTCAGTTTATGCCCGGAGAAGTTATTTCTATTTAAAGCTTCACCCCGACCCCCGACCTATTTTAGAGAAGAGGCCATATGAAAAGTTAGTTTGTCTCAAAGCTTGGGTGATATCTCACCTCATTATGAATAAACCGGAAGTTGCTATGTGTAACATCCCTCCAAGTAAGATACTAAGGACCCCTTTTATCTCGATTAGTTTTTGGTGTTCCCTTTTAAAAGACTTCTAGTAAATATTAGTTGGAATTGAAACTCATACAAAAGCCTTTATTCTGGAGCATGTTCATGAAATAGTGCTTGTTACCTTACATGTCTTTAGTAATACTCCCATAAAGCAATTCGGGAATGAACAAAAATCTTTATAAAAATTTGAAGGTGATTCTAGACAAAAATTCCCAAGCATTTGATCACTAATGCTTTTTGAAGAATCCCAATTAATGTAGATTGGATAGAGTTTATGAAAGGGGCTAAACATATTTGGGTTTTTGTTAGGATACTTTTGACTTCTGAAGTGTACCTATAAATGTAGGTGGTTCCCCAAAGCCTTCAAGTCTAAATGATAATAAATAGAATGACTTAGGTTATACGGTATTGTATTATGCATTCATAGACCTTCTAGATTATCTAAAAGTGCTTGCTATTTACAATGTCAAGATTGGGAAGTGCTGCATGGGTTTTTATATGAAACAGTCATTTCATTTATGGTTCAGGTACTTATCTCTGGGGAAAAAATTATTTTGGACTATTAAAGGCTAAGACTTTGGGGTACTATGAAGTAAGGTAGTACTTTAAAATGCAACAATTGTAATTTTAATCATATTTTATATAGAAAGTTATGAAACACCAAAGAGAATGCTGAAAATGGACTTACTGTCATCTTCCTTCAGTTCTCCTAATGATCCAGATGGACAAACTGATATCTTTTGGGATCAGAATTCTCCATTGACAAAGCAGTTAGGTAATTCATTATGAACATTTTTTATGTGGGTAAATATTTGATAAGTGATTGAGATTTAACTAGAATTCTAGTCAGATAATAGCATCGGGCACTTCTGAGAATCTTAAATGATTTTATCTGTGTAAGTATGTGATATAAACACATAATCCTCTAAGCTGCACTAATTAAAATTATTTTCTAAGAAGTGACAGGTATTTTTTTAAATTGAGGGTTTTTTGTTTATAATCTATAGAAATGTCTTTATTTCCTTAGGTAAAGGAAGAAAAAAACAGATATACACCACAGATAGTGATGAGATTTCACATATTGTTAATCGTATTGCTCCTCAGGTAAATATCACTAGTTTTATAGTTTGTTTTAAAACAGTGAAGAATGTGCCACTAACTTCTTGTACAGTTTCTTTAAATGAAAAGTATTGTCTTTTATAATTCTTTTTTCCAAAAATAAGGCAGCAAAAATTACTGTTTTGCCTTTTCTGCTTTTGAAATGCATATTTTGAAAAAAGAAACATAAAAAATTAGTACTAGATATTTTCTTAAGTATATATGTTGTCTTAATTTTTTAGAGTAATTTTTTACTAGGGCATTTGTGTGTTTTTATCTAATGTGCTTAACAACATATGGCATCATTTTTCAAGTTACTAAAATAATAGAATAAGGCAATCAAAAAAATTTAAACTTTTGTGGTTGTTTGTGATTGGTATTTACTGTCTGTAGTATAACGGTTCCCCATCGAAACTGTTCTTCTTAATACTCATTGACTTAAAAGATCATCAAGAAACACAAAAGTGGAGATCACTGAATTCAGTTTTAGTCTTCATTCAGCCTCCTGTGCTGTGTGACCCAGTGCAAGTTATTTAAACTCTCACCACCTCAGTTCATTCAGCTATGAACTAGAATTATTACTTGTCTTGCTCTTTTCATTGGATCATTATGAGGATTAAACTACATAAAAATTCTTTGTAAACTATAGAGTGCTATAATTGTAAGGCTATGTTAAGGTTATTACTGTAATAGAACCATCTCCAAACTTTTTTTCCTTGGCCAGGCATGGTGGCTCATGCCTGTAATCTCAGCATTTTGGGAGGAAGGTAGAGACAGGAAGATTATTTGAGGACAGGTGTTTAAGACCCCGTCTCTTGCTGGGGCAGGAGAATTGCCTGAACCCAGGAGGTGGAGGTTGTGGTGAGCCGAGATCACGCCATTGCACTCCAGCCTGGGTAACAAGAGTGAAACTCGGTCTTAAAAAAAAAAATTTTTTTAACTGTTTTGTTTCTTTTTTTCACTTCAGTTCTTGTCCTGTTTGAGTGAAATGGAAATATGTTCAAGTCAATGATTTGACGCAAAGCAATCCAATAACTCTAATATTATATGACAATTACTGAGAAGCAAAGGCTTAATACATAAAACTGTTCTGAACTTTATTTTTTGGTCTCTTTTTCTTATTTAACAACATTTAATTCCAAGAACATTTTTGCTTAGTGTCTTCTGTAAAGGAAGTATGCTATTTTCCCTTAACATGTCCTTGAATAGTTGCTATAAATTGACCATAAACAGTTACATGGCACTGGTCCAAAACATGGTTTGAAGGATGACTGTCATCCTGGTGGAAGAGACAGGAAATGAAGGTTTTCTTAGCAGCTGTAAAATATCCACAATTATACCTAGCACAGTCAAAACAACTCTGTTGCTATTAGCTCTACAGTCCATATTTAACATGTCATAGAAATTCATTTTACTTGCCATTCATTAGTTAAATAGCATTTATGCCATGATAGTACTTACTCTATAAGTTAAACAGTGGATCTTCATTAATTGTGGTTTTCGCATCAAAGAAGCATAATAAAATGTGTTTGGGCTGGCCAGCCTAAATAGTGATAAAAAGATAGTTGTGAATAAATTATTGGACCCTTTACCTAAGTGGCCTGGAAACAGTAGCTCATATAAAGAAATGGCAACAGTATGCAAGTGGTAACTTGTGTAAAAGAAACAAAATACAGTGAAATTAGTAGCTTTAAAATATTACCCTCTTAAACTGAGTACTTTTAAAGCATATAAATCTTCAGCAGTTTCAATGTCTTTGAAAGCTTGTCATGTTCTCAGAATGACAAATATTTATATTGTTTATTTTTAGGTGAGTCATTCTCAAATCACTTAATTTACTTTTAACATTTTCAGAGATAGCAATTTTTTTAAGACACTTTTATTTTAATTGGACAGTCAATTCACTTTCTCTAGGGATACTTTATACAATGTTGTTTATTTGAAGATGGTATATTTCTTCATTTATACAGCTTTGCACAGTATATACTTTTTACAATGAAGTGAAGTAATGCATTTAGATACCTTATATAGCATCTGGATTACAATTGGAAATCAATAAATTATGTAATTATTAATGAAGAAATATGTAATATATAACACATAAATAGTATACAGACATACATAGGACCCATGTATATATAAAGTTGGGTATGTAAAGTCATAATTTAGTTCTCTGAAAATTGAATGAATTTAAAATTACTTTGGTAAAGTGGCAGAGTTCATAAGTAAGACTATTATTTTCTTTAAATTCAAGATTATTATTGAAACAAAAGGGAAAATATATATTGAGTCTGAAAGTGAAATGACCGATTTTTTTGAGTATTTGCAAAGCTAAAAGCGACTAGGTTCAAATCGACGTTAAGAGAAATGCTTTTTGAATTATTGAGAATTTGAAGTACCAAGATGTAAGGTGTCTTCACCTAAACCTTCTAGTAAATACATGTAAACTGACACTCTTATGCCCAGTATTGTGCAAGATTCTGAGCTATCCTAAGAAGAGTCCTTGCTTTGAGTAGCCTATAATCTGGTAGTAAGATTATTTTTTACCTTGTGTGATATTTATGTTCATTCTAGGTGCTATAAAATAAAGTGAAAATGGTTAATTTATTTGATTTATTGGTTTTGTTTGCAATTAATGCTTGAAGCTCATTCTCAATTTTTTTTACATGATCAAGTGACTGAAAGGTACAGCAAAAATATCCATATCTAAAATGCCTTTTTTCTGTATATTATCCTGGCTAAACTTTTCTGCTTTCTCTATTTTTTATTCTTATTCCTGCCTCATTCTTAGCATCAGTTTTAACCTTACTCTTACCTCTTAAATTCAGTCCTGACCTTAATTCTGAGTATTCCTAATTTAGGTCAACATGGATTGTCCAACTTTACATAAAGATGATAATAAAGGTAAAGAAAATTTGGAGAATCAAATGATACAGAAATAATTCCATATGTATCTCTTTATTGTCAATTCTGGTGATTTCTGCAACAAGGTTTTTGACACTAATGTTTTTATAAGTATTTTACGACAATTAAAATGTCCATTTTCTTTGATAAAAGCATATACTTCTATTATTAAATGTACATTTGATAAATTTAAGTCTTAATGTTTTTTGAAAATAAACAATTTCTAATACTGAACGTTTTCATTTTCTGATACATAAGTAGATCAATTCTTGTAGCTTATTATTGCTGTCTTCCAACTTCTCATTGATTGTGAGTTTGTTTGGTAACTATTACTTCACCAGAATTTAGGAAATTAATTCAAATAGTTTTCATTTTCTTTCTTTTTTCATCGCTCTCTCCGTCTCTCCCTTTCTCCTTCTCTCCTTCTCTTTCTCTCTCCCTCTCTCCCTCTCTTCCTCTCCTCCTCTCCCCCTCTTCCTCTCTCCCTCTCCTCTCCTCTTCCTTGTTTTGGAAGGGTGGGTGCTGCATTGGTACTTTATACCTTTTTCCCCCTATCTGCCAAAGGATGAAAAACCAACAACAAATTCTATGCTGGACGTGTGGATTGGTGAAACTGCTATTCCTTGTACTCCCAGTGTAGCAAAAGGAAAATCAAGAGCAAAAATCAGCTGCACAAAGTAAGTTAAGACTTTTCAGCTTTTCTGAGATTCAGTAAAGCAAATAGTTTTGATAATATTCCAGTTTGGTTTTGTGAATATATCAGAATTTTTGTTAATAACATTTCCATAGTTTTGATCTATGAAATTTTGCAGTTAAAATAATTGTAGGTGTTAAAATCTTAGAGGTTTAACATCAAAATATGTTAAATAAAATTGGATATAATGTCTCAGAACATTTTTAATTGTAATTTTTTAATATTGTTTAATAGGTTAAAAACAAAAAATCAAGAA